TGCTGCTCTATCTGGCAGTGGTCGCACTGTGCCCTGCCTGGGTCCCCTCCCTTCCTGTGGCTGCCTGGGACCTGGGCCACCCTGCAGAGGTCTCACTGGGCTCAGCTCCCCAGCTTTCAGCTTAGGGCTGGTGCAGGGCCTGGCGGGAGTTCTAAAAAACCTCAAGCCCAGGTCGTGCCCCAGCCTCTCCAGGCCTGGACCTGCCCCTGGAGACTGCGGCTGCTTCAGGAGCCAGAACAAAACTGGTGCCTCTGCGGGGTGCTCGGGGCCCCAAACTTCACTCACCCTGGCAGGCCTGGCCCAGCCAGGGCCTGTGCTATCACATGGCCCTGTGCCCACGGTGGCAAGAAATGTCCCCACTGACTCAGCATCACTGCTGGATATTTGGAGGGTGTTGACTGGGTCCCTGGCAGGGACATGGCTAGTCCGTGACTCAGGGACACCAGCCACGGCAGGACACCAGGAAGTGGCTGCATGGCATGCAGGTGATGCAAGGAGTGTTTGAGTCACATCTCAGCACAAGCAGGTGCACGTGCATGCACCTACATGCATGCACACACGTGTACCCACACATGATATGTGCAACTCAGGCACATACCCACAGGCACACCTGCGCATATGCATATATGGATTGCATGGAAACATGCACAGGACACTGCACACATATGTGCATTCACACGTCCTCATACCACACTATACCCAAACAGGCGTCCACATGTATGCAGTGCTATGCTAACACATGTGTATCTGGATGTATGCACACTGCAGACATGCATGTACCTACATGTGCATAAACATGAGGCATGTGTGTTGCATGTACACTTGTGCACATGCTGCTGTCATGCACAGAATTCACACTTAGATACCCATGAACAGACACACCCATGTGCACACACAGAAAAGCACACATATGTGCACAGTACACTTATGTGCAGACACAACTACACATGTGTGTGCCTGTGTGCGGACACAGAAACATGTGCACATGTGCAAGACACATATGTGCATGCCGATAAGAAGACACACACATTGTTACACATACATATGTGTATCCAGACTGCAGAGCCACACACACCTGTGCACACACACATGCACACCACGTACACCCTTGTATACTCATTCACACCTGGACACAGGCACAAGTGCGTGCATATGCAAACATGCGTGCAGGCTGCACACCTACATGCAGAATGCACCCTGCTGACTGGAAGCCTCTGTCGCTGGAGCTGCGCTAGCTGTGGGGACAGCGGGGTCCTGGGGTTCTGGGACCCCTCTCATAGGTGCCAACTAGGACCCTTCCACGGGCTTCCAAGGAAAACAGCCATGGGGCCAACGCGTTTGTTCACTGTCCAGGACTATATTTAGCACTGAGTAATTTAGGTATTTTGAGCGAGGCTGGGGCGGTTTTCCCTGCCCTGGTTGCCGTGTGGCTGCTTTGAAACTGGGGTTGAATCAGCTCCCTGAAGCCCACACAGCCTGGGCCCCGGCGCCCTCGCCCGCCTTTCCTGCCTGGGGGTTGCTAACTGGCTGGCCGCCTCCGGGCAGCCTGCATGGCTGCGGGATTTTTTTTTTTTTTTTTCTAAACTGCAGCTGTGGTTGGGATCCTGTAGACTGGCATCCACTAGTGACAGACAGCAGAGAAATTCTATGTACCCTTCACCCAGCTCCTCTCACTGTGACCCTGCATACAACTCTGCTCACTGTTAATGCCAGGCTATCAAGAAAGCCCGACCCCTTCCTGCTCTGACCTTGGCAGGTTTTTTGGTTTGTCTGAGGCCGGGTCTTCCTACATTGCCTAGGCTGTACTGGAATTTATGATCCTCGTCCCACAGCCTCCCAAATGCTAGCAACATGGTGTGCGTGCACACTGGGCCACTCCATCTCCCTTTTGTCCAGAGACAGTCTCCACCAGCCCCAGCTGCTCCAGGCCTGGGGACCGCTCCTGGCAGGATAAGCGGAGCCCTGCCCGCCGTCAGAATTGGGATCTGGCCACGCCCTGCATGCACTCCCCAGAGATCCAGGCATTCCAACTTATGGCCAAGTAGGAATTTTTCCAAAATCTGAACTCTGTCTTTACTTGTCTGCAGCTACCCAGCTCCAGCGACTACAAAGCAGACGGCAATGTCATGCGTTAATGACAGACACGAGTGCTGCGTAATTAGCTGGCTGAGTGTCTGCCGGGCTGAGATCGGGGCTCCTGGGGCTCCAGAGCTGGCTCCTGGCATCCACGCCAGGCCGGCTCAACAGGGCACCTGGCCTGCCAGCACCGACCCATGGCCTGCACACCCTCCGCAGGGCCTCCCTGGCCTGCTAGGTGCTCAGCTGAGTCCCTGCGCCACACGTGGCACCAGATGTCATCACCTGGTGTCCCAGGAAGGGGAAGACAAGTCCCAGTTGAGACACCCTAGTTTAGCGCTCATCAAATAAAAATTGGATGGAAGAAATAGAACTTTTACTGCCCAAAGCAACAGAGCAGAGCTGCATAACTCAATTAGAGAAGTAAATACTCCCTGCGCCCACAGCTGGCGGGAAGGTAAAATGGACAGCCACTCTGCCAAGAACTTGAAGCTTTTTTTATTTTATTTTTTGGAAACAGGGTCTTCGCTGGGCAGTGTAGCTGGCCTTGAGCTCACTTCATAGACCAGGCTGGACTCGAACTCGCAAAGATCTTTCTGCCTCAGCCTCCCAGATACTGAGATTATAGATGTGTGCCGCGACATCCAGCCCAGGTGGATGTTTTAACCAACTGCAATCTAGCACTTCAGTGGAATACTACTCAGAAACAAAGAAGAACAAAAATATTGCCATGTGCAGCTGGCTGGGCGAGGTTCTCAATCCCCAAAAGTTATGCTGCATGTGGTTCCATTCCTTTAGCATTCCTTAAACGATGAAACCATGGAAAAGGACATCCTTGTGCTTCCCAAAGGTTTGGGATGGGGTGGGGCTGGGATTTGTTCTCAGGAGAAGCTGTCACAATGCAACAAGACACCTCCTGGTGACAGACAGGTTTTGAACCAGGATTAGATCAGTGTGGAGTTGTGGTGCTCCATGATAGTTTCGCAGGAATCTGACAGCTGCTGGGAAGCTGGTGGTCCCCATAGGCATAGTGAGACCCCTCTTCAGCATTACTTGAAACTGGACGTTTCCAAGCCTGGTGGTGCATGCCTATCATCCCTGCAGTCTGGGAAGCTGAGGCAGGAGGATTGCAAATTCAAACCCAGCCTGGGCAACTTAGTGACTTGGAGAGACCCTGTCTCAAAATAAAATTTAAATAAAAGGGCCTGGATGTAGCTCAATGAAAAGGCCCCGGGTCCCATCCCCACACCCCCACCCCAGAGAAGGAGAGAAATCCATTACAGACACACGGAAAGGCAGCGCTGTGCAGAGCGAGGTGACGCAGTCACAACTGAAGGACAGTTGGAGCCCCAGGCACTGGGTGAGGCGGGAGGACCCTCCTGGGCCCCTGGAGGAAGCCGGGCTCTGCAGAGACCTGGTCTCTGGATTCCAGGACTGTGGATGGATAAGTTCCTGTTGTTTGAAGGCACTGGTCTGAAAGCCTGGGGACACCAGTGGGGACCTTGTGTCAAGCCTTTCACAGGGCTCCCGAGAGCTCCGCTGACTGGGGACCATGGCGCTGATACACTGGATCTCTTTGTTTGTTTGTTTGTTTAATTTAGGCCTTTACAATAAACTACATCAGTGCTTTTTTTTGAGACAGATTCTGACTGAATGGCCCAGACTGGGCTTAAATTTCTTATCCTTCTGCCTCAGGGATGACAGGCCCATGCCATCCCAGGAGTTTCTTACACACACACACACACACACACACACACACACATTGCTTTCTGAAGAAGCTACTCTGAGCAGGAAACGAAAGCAAAGCCTCTTGCTGGGCACTCCCTGGGACAGCTGTGTCAAAACCCAGGTCACAGCAGCAAGGAGAACGAGGGCCTGTGCACGGGGATTGCCAAAAGAATGAAAGAAATAGACCCAGGGCGAGGGCCAGCCAGCCAGCCAGCTCAGTGGACTAAAGTGCCTTTTAGGCAGACGCAGGTGCCCGGGGTTCCATCCCTGCCCCCCTGGATGTGCAGAGACTGAGAGCAGTGGTGGGGTGCGCCTGTAATCCCAGCACTTGGGAGGCTGAAAAACAGGATCGCTACAAGTCCAATCTGTGTAGTCAGACTCTGTAGACCCTGACAGAAAGAAAGAAAGAAAGAAAGAAAGAAAGAAAGAAAGAAAGAAAGAAAGAAAGAAAGAAAGAGAAAGCAAAAAGACAGAAAGAAACCAACCAACCCAGGTCTTCCAGCCAAAGGATGGCCCTCCTGGCACCCCAGTAACCTGTCTCAATACAGAGACAGTGGGTTTTTTTTGTTGTTGTTGCTTTTTGTATTTTAGGGAAAGGTCTACAGGGTGTTCAGGGTCTCACTACTAGATGGACTCACAGTGATCTGCCTGTTTATAGCCTCCCAAGGGCTGGGATTACAGGCGCACTCCACCATGCCCAGTCTCAATTGCCCTCTCAAAGCACGGGGTGGGGGAGGGGGGTGGCCTCAGGGCAGACCCTGATCGAACCTTGGCCACTGAGCTATTTGGCTGGCCCATGAGAGAGCAGTTCTCATGGGGTGACAATTCTGCTCCCCAAAGAGACTCTTGGAGACACACAGGGAGGTGGCCCTGAGGTGCTCCTGACACAGGACTCCGCACCCTGCAGTGCTCTGAGGCACAGAGAACCCTCCAGGCTCCAGCTCAGCCACCTCCACCCGTGAGGAGAGGAGCCCTGCTGCCTGTCCCCGCCCACCCCGTGCCCCTACTGAGCAGGCTGTCCTGGGATGCTGCGCCCTGAGCCCCAAGAGGCCCCAGAAGCCCATTGTCCATGCTGCTCTTAGCCAGGCTCCCCTCAGCTGGGACGCAAGCGGCGTGGCCTCTGCCCAGGGCGGCTGCTGTATGGGGCAGTCCCAGGTCACCACCAGCTGGCTCACGTCCCTCTGTTCCCATCACAGCTCTCTGGACACGGGGCCCAGACTGATGGCCAACAATGTCAGCCACTAACAATGTAGCACAGGCCCGGAAGCTCGTGGAGCAGCTGCGGATCGAAGCCGGAATCGAGCGCATCAAGGTGAGCCAGGCTGGGGGACCAGGGGAAGAGGGAAGGCCCCGTGGCCTCTGCGAAGCGGACTCAGCTGCAGAATAGAGTTTTGCTGTGTAGCACTGGGCCCCTCACTTGGCCTCTCTGAACTTCTGTTTCTCAGCAGAAAGGATTTAGCTCGGGCAAGCCAAATGGTTCAGTGGATTAAAGCACCTGTTTAGGCAGATGCAGCAGCTGGGATTCGAGCAGTGCCAGTCCCACCCCCAGTGGGTGCTGAGACTGCGATTCAGGCTGGGAATGGTGGTGCGGGCTTGTAATCCCAGCTCTTTTTTTTTTTTTTTTTTTTTGGCAGAACCAGGTATTGAAGTCAGGCCCTTGCACTTGCCAGGCAAGCGCTTAAACCCCAACTCTTGGGAGGTTAAAAACAGGAGGACCACTACGAGTCTGATCCACACAGTGAGACCGTGTAGACCCTGTAGACCCTTATGAAAATACATAAATAAATAAATAGGGGCTGGGGAGATGGCTGGTGGAATAAGTGCTTTCCTGGCAAGCGGAAGGGCCTGAGTTCAATCCCTGGTTCCGCCAAATAAATAAATATGAAAGAAAGGATCAGCTGACAGAACAGTTCCATGTCAGAGCCTTGTGCCACAGGCCATGCCGACACAGTAGAACCAGCGGCAGGGCTGCCCGACCCCCACCCTCAGACTAGCACTTTCTCCTGTGGTCATCCACAAAGGACAGGTGACAGGTGACAATAGAAGTCATAGACATAGCCAGGGAAGAAGGAGCCAGACTTCTTCACAGCTGCCTGCATCTGCAGTGTTTACATTTATTTATTTATTTATTTATTTATTTATTTATTTATTTATTTTACAATAAGCCTGTTTGAGTTTTGCACTGAAAAAGACAAAAGGACGAAACCCAATGCTCCCCGCTGCCCAGTGAAGGTGGAAGCATCCCGGGAGGCCAGCATGTGGGAGACGGCCCTGAAGAGTGAAGACTTGGGGCTGGAGCTTGAGTGGGAGGCAGGTGGTACCTGTAAGCACTGCCTCCACCTGGTCCAGGGCGCCCCATCACCCTTAACACCAACCTGTCCCTGAGTAGTTGTCACTGAGCCCGGCTCAGCCGTGCACCTCTGGAGTCAGCGGCCTTGGGTGTCTCCTGCCTATGGAGCCCACGCTGTGCATGCACTGTGTCCAGCTCCTGTTACAGCTTCCTTGAGGTCTGTCCATGCTATGGCAAGTGTCACGGCACCATTCCTTTTCCCTTTTCCCAGCTGGGTAATATTTCAATGTGTGTGTGTGTGTGTGTGTGTGTGTGTGTGCGCATAAGCACTATGTTTACGTGATAAATATGAAGTCCCTGCAGGAAGCACAGGACAACATCCAGGCCTCATGCACTTCCTCTCTTAAATGCCTCAGCACCCCCAGGACACTGTGGCCTCCACCAGAATGGGGTTCACAGCTTTAAGATGCCTACTTGCCAAACTGTGCCCACGTGACAGCACAGCAAGAACTTCCCACGGGCCGTGTCCTGTCCTGGGACCCATGCTGCCTGCAGCCTGAGGGCATAGGCCAGCTGCAGGACAGGTCCAGGTGTCCCTGTGCTGGTCGGGAACAGAGCAGACCCAGGGGGGAGACCTGGCTCCATTCACAGCCTGCTCAGGGACGTCTGGGTACATGCAGGCTGCACCTCCAGGGCGGGGCACAGGCACTCTGTGTGTTGTCCTGTGTCTGTGAGGGGCACAGTACACAGAGAGGGACACTAGTTTACTCTAAGGGGTTGGCCCATGTGGGCTGCAATGTGCAGAGCAGGCCTGGGGCGAGAGCTGAGGTTTCTTCTCAAAACCCAGGGCTGGGGCCAGGGAGATAGCTCAGTAGAATAAGCAAGCTACACAGGGTCCTGAGTTCAATCCCCGGTACCACAAAAAAAAAAAAAAAAAAAAAAAAAAAAAATCCAGGGGCACTTGGCAAGGCCTCTGCTTCTCCTAGAGCCTGCCTCTGATTAGCAGAGGCCACTCACACCACAGAGGTGCTCACCAATGCTCACCACTTCTAACTGATTCCAGAGCTGGGGCAGTGAGGCGTGCATGTCACCCCGTACTCGGGAAGCTGAGGCAGGAGGCTTGTGCATTTGAAGCCAGCTTGGATCTCATAGTGAAAGATCTCACACAAAAATCTAAAAGTACTTTTCTAGCAACGTCTAGCATAAAATTTGAAGAAAAAGAGCCCTTTGACCTGGGTCAAGAGACCTTTACGGTTGTCTCCTGCGATCCCTCAGACCCAGAAATTTAAGGTTGTCTTACCCCATAGGGCCTCCTGTTCCCAGCATTCCTGGGGGCTGAGCAAGAAGCCCCTTTGAAGTGGTTTCCTCTGCGAGCTGAGCCAGCCCAGGGCCCCGCCCCCCATTTGATGTCAGCAGGGGTCCCCCTTCTCCACCCTCCAGTTACAGCTGCTGACAGCCAGGCACCTGGGACATCAGGCCTCTTTCAGGTCCCCACTGAGCTGTATGCCCACGCCCCCCCACCCGTGTCCAGGCTATAGGGTAGAAGCCAGCTGTGAATCTGGGGCCCACAAGGTCCAGCCTGGACACTGTGCCCACCGTGAGTCCAGGATGGCAGTTTCCAGCCTAAGGCCCCGCAGGGTCTGCAAAAGGGCAGTTTCCGCTGCCTAAGGACAGCACCGTCTCCGGAGTGTAGACTCAGAGTGTGCTCCAGGGCGCATGGGGGCGGGGGGGTGGGGGACTCGGTGTCCCTGGTCCATGGGGTGACTAAGGGTGGACACCACGTACCTGATGTCATGTTCACAGGCCAGAGGCTGTGAAAGGTCACTCAGACTAGGCCAAGATCCAGGTCCCCCAGGTCCCAGGGTGGTGACCCCAAAGCCAAGTGTGCCAGTCCTGCGGAGCTGAACACTGAGGCCAAGGGGACAGCGCCCTGAACACCTGGCAGGGAGAGCCAGGGAGAGTGGCAGGGCCGGGGAACGCCCTGCAGCAGGGGAGATCGCCTGGCCTCCAGTGGTCTCCCCCAGTCCTCAGTGGGTTGGTGGTGACAGAGGTGCAGTTCAGAACTTCCCTTGTGCTCACTGGAGGCCCCAAGGACACAGCTGGGTGTTACAGTTGAGTTTCCCAGGATGGTGTCAGGTGGGCGGAGAGGTAGGAGAGGACGTCCCTGCAGAGTCCCTTCCTGGGCCAGATGGAACTTTCTTACCAGTCCTGGGGATGGAACCCAGGGCCTCTGCACTAAGTGCCATCCCAGCTCTCTTTTTTTTCCCCCCACAGTACTGGGGATCAAATTCAAGACCTTGCACTTGCCAGGCAGGCACTTAAGCCACTGAGCTATATCTCTGGCTCCTCTTTTTATTTTTGAGACAGGGTCTTGCTAAGTTGCCCAGGCTGGATTCAAGCTTGGTATCGTCCTGCCTCATCCTCCCAAAGCCCCAAGATGGCAAGCATGTAAACCTGCACCCTGCACCCAGCTTCCTCTAAACTTAATTCTTCAGAGCCCCACCTAAGCCTTTACTAGTGATGTTCAGTGCATTCTCAGTGCTGTTACTATTGATTCTACCTAGTTCCAGAGCACCCCATCCCCCAAACCAGCCCTGTCCTTGTGAGCAGTCACCCTCCACACCCCTGGCACCCACCAGTCCACTTCCTGCCCCTGGCTTCACCTGTCCTGGACATTTCATGGCGTCCTCAGGATCCATCCACACTGTGTCGAGCGTCATAGCCTCGCTCCTTTTCCCAGCCATGTAATATTCCAGCAGGCCTGTGGACCTCACTGTGTGAGTTCGTCTGCCCATCCCTGGAGACTCCCACTGTCCCCACCCACCACTGGCTCTGGTGTCCTGCAGTCCTTTTACCCCCTCCCTCTTTCCTTGTGCCGCACACAGGTGTCCAAAGCCTCGTCGGAGCTCATGAGTTACTGTGAGCAGCACGCACGGAGCGATCCCTTGCTGGTTGGAGTCCCTGCCTCGGAAAACCCCTTTAAGGACAAGAAGCCGTGCATTATTCTATAGCTCTCTCTCTCTCTCTCTCTCTCTCTCTCTCTCTCTCTCTCTCTCTCTCTCTCCATCTCTCTTTCCCACACCAAGTCTCCGCCCCCACCAAGGGGTCATCAAAAACCTTACTGCAGCCAAACATCCCTGTCCCTAAAGGTTGGATCCCTGAAGAAATGCCTGTGGTCGCCAGTTGCCCTGAGGGGGGAAAACCAACGCTTCTAGGGAGGCTGGGTTTTCTCACCCAACCTGGTGGCCCCCCTGAGGGGCTCCCCAAAACAGGCACAGTGGCTTCCAGCCCTCCTCCCATCAGGAACACCCTGGCCACCCAAGCGCGGTGGTGACAGCTTGCTAAAACTCCACTGACAATAGGCTGGCCGGTGTCCTGCAGAGCAGGGACAGGAGGTCTCTTTCCCCCCAGACTGGCCACCTGTGACACACCCTCACAGGGCATCTGGGACACTTTTTATTTTGTAAGCAAAGGTCAAACTGGGGGTGAAGGGTTGACATCACAACTTCTTTAGGGAGAGAAAAGCATCTCTCCATTTAAAAACTTGTCTCTGTTCCCCCCTAAAACCTGGCAGGGTGACACAGAAATGGGCTTCCGGGACAGGGTGGGATGTCTACAAAGTGGCAGCCTCTCTATGGCATCTCTGCCTGCCACATTGCAGAAGTGGACAGGACTTGACCAGAGCAGGGCTGAAAAGTGCGTGGGCAGGCGAGGTCCGCGCAGAAGGTAGCAGCCCTACCTCTTTCCTACTGCCAGGCGCTGCAGCTTGCTAGCTTTCCTTTTATAGGAGACATGGGATGGAGCCCAGGGCAGCCCAGGGCTCCATCCCCAGCAGTTTTTATCTTTTGAGATAGGATTTTGTTAAGTTGCCCAGGCTGAAATCCTCCTGCCTCAGCCTCCCAAGGGTGCTGGGATGACAGGTGTGTACTCCGTGCCTGGCCAAAAGTTGCTGAATTACCTTGAAGTGACTGTGAAGGATTTCTCAGACAAAGTCCTCCGTCCCAGACCCAGCAGCAGTGTGCTTGTCACCATGACAACCACCCTAAATTGTTTCGCTTTTGGACCCCATAGGATGTGGGCCCTTCCCTGTGAGGACAGGTGGGAGGGCTTCCAACCTTGGGGTCTGCCTGTCACTCCTCCCACCAGCCTGGCAATGTAAGATGTCATGGGGTGGGGACAGGGGCTGTGTGCATACCCCTCTGGTGTCACCTGTGGCCATATCTGTGACACAGCAAAGACCCCACATTGTCCGGGACCTTGGAGTCCCACAGCTTGACGCGGCAGCCACCAGTGGAGAGAATACCAGCTTGGTTCTGCCCCTGTGGCACCAGTGGGCGGCAATCCAGGGCCTCAGCCAGGACAGTCCCTGGAGGGTTGCCTAGGTCCCCCGCGCTGCCAGTGAGGCAAGGCCGGCAGCCTCAGGGGTTCCCTAGCAGGAACAGGCACCAGGTCCCCAGTGGGCCAGGGCCCTCGGGCAGGACAGAGGTCAGAGTCGGTGTGGCGCCAAGGGTGCCCCAGCCCCTCCTTGGGGCTCAGAGGATACATTCTGCAGGTGCACAGGCCTCTCCCTGGCACGCTCTCTACGGCTGGTCCGGGAGGGCCAGGGGCTTGGGGAGCTTGGCTGTACTGGGAGAGGTTCAAAGTCTCCCCCAAACCACATGGGCCTGGGAGCAGACCAAGCACGGCCCCTGCCAGTCGCTAGTGGAGCTGGGGAAGGGACCCCAGTGCCCAGCAGGGAAGGTGCTGGGAGCCTGTAGGTGGCCACTGCTGGGCCCCCAGGGAGGGAGACCCTGGCCCAATGCCACTGTCCTAGGGACCATTTCAGCCCTGTTTCTCTTTCAAAGAAGCCTTAATCCTTTGAGTGGGCATTGAGCCTGCCCAGCTCCCGTCGTTCCCTGGACCTGCGGCCCCCGGGTCCAGGACAGACAGAGGAAGAGACAGAGATGTGCCAAGGCTGGGTTGCAGCTGAGTGTCCCCACCAGGATCACCCGGGAAGCTGCTGCACTGTGGGGAGCAGAATAGGGGCCCTGAGCCTCCAGGCTCAGCCAGGTGACGGGGGCACACTCTGTGACCCCTGAAGAGGGACCCTCAAAGGACTCAGGAACCCCAGGAGCTGTGTGTGCTGGGTAAACTGAGACCGGGAGGGGAAAGACATGCAGGCATCTGGCCAAGCCTCAGCTGTCTTCCTTCATCACCCCAGCTGCCCTGCAGGTGCCACTACCCTGTCTCTAAATCTGGCGACCAGATGGCCAAAGCCTTGGACCCCGAGGAGGTGGCAAAGGGCAGAAGCCCATGAGTTTCTTTCTAAGCTTAGAAGAAGGAAGAATATCCTTTTTCCCACCTTCGTGTCACAGTAAACCCGGCGCCCACCCAATGCCATGACAGGGATTTTTCCCCACTTTAAAATGACTTTTCTGTGTGATACAGGGATGGAGTTCGGGGCCTTTACACTGGGCTCCATCTGCAGCTCTTGGGTTTTTTTAAAAATTTTTTTTATTTTAAGACAAGCTCTCACTAAGTCATTAAATTGCCCCAGCTGGGTTTGACCCTCCTACCTCAGCCTCCCTGAGTGCTGAGATAAGAGATGTATGCCACACTCCTAGCTTGGTCCCTCATCCTTGTGGCCTGGCCCCGTGTTTCCGGGGCTGCCTCCAGCGAGGGTGCAGGCTGAGGGCCCACATGCCTGGCTGAGCCCCCTCCTGGCCCCATCTGGGCCAAAGCTGCCAGCCCTGTCCCTTTCCCTCCCTTACACTGGAAAGAAACTAGAACACGCATCCCCATCCCCAAGGTCCCCAAAGGTGATTCCCCTACACCCAAGCCAAGAACGAAGTAGCTCTGCTGTGACCTGAGGCCCTCAGGGAGGATGGGGGAGCTGTCCCTGCTGTGTCTCTGAGGCGTCACCATGGGCTGGAGGCCATCCTGTTGCCAAGAGTCTGGACCTGACAGCGCAGAGGCAGCTTTCGAGAAGCAGGGGCATGAAGAGGCTGTCAGATGCCTGCTCAAGCCTGACCTGAAGCCACCTAACCGTCCCTGACCTTGAGGACACTGGCCAACACAACTGGCCTGCAGCTGGTTCCTACACAGAAGCCATATGACGCTGACGCTGGACTCGGGCTGCTCTCGCCACCCACGGTCACCGCTGTCAACGCCATCCAGCCAGGGTCCCTGTTTCTGGTGGCGATGCCCACCCCTCCTGCATCCGGAGGCCCCTGGTGTTTCTTCCTAAATTTTTAAAACCACATGACCCATGCCCGCTCCCTCGCAGTGTTTAATACCGTGTGGAATTGTCACCCCGACCCTATTCACACACAATAAAATGCTCTTTTCCTTTCCCCGCCTCTGTGCTGCGGTTCTGGGCCTCGGCTGGTGGGGGGGCAGCTGTCCCCACACCCTTTCCAGTAGGCCTGGTGGCTCACTCCAGATGAACACAAGAGCAACACAGCCCCAGTGCGCTTGCAAGCCGGCAGGAAAGCTCTTGGCGAGCCACACGCACCTGGGTTCGCGCAGCCTGAGATGGTTTCTGTTTTGTTTCACTTTTTTTTGCTGCTGCTTCCTCTTTTTTTTTTTTTCTTCAGAGTACTGGGAATGAAGTCCAGGGACTTTGTACTGAGCTACATCCCTAACCCTTTTAAAAATGCTTACTTTGAGACAGGGCTTTGCTGAGTTGTTCAGGCTGACTTGAACTTGAGATCCTCCTGCCTCGGCTTCCCACAGTGCTGGGATGACAGGCGTGCGCATCACACTTGGCTGGTACCAAGCGCTTTTAAGGGCCTAGAGCTTGAAATGGTCTCAGTCTTACCTCCTTGGCATTGTCCTGCCCTTTCTGGCCACCTGGAACCCCCTGGGATCCACCAACCCCTTCCCCAAAGGGCCTCATCTCCTAAGATACTGTCAGCAGTTTAAAAAAATTTTTTTTTTTTTATTTTAATTTGAGGCAGAATCTCACTATGCAGTTCAGGCTGGCCTTGAGCTCACTGTGTAGCCCCTGTGGGCCTCAAACTCACATGGATCCTCCTGCCTCAGCTCCGGGGTGCTGGGATCACAGGTGTGTGGTGCCACTACACCCTACTAAAAATTAAATTTTTCATAATAAAGTTTTCAAGCCAGGTATGGTGGTGCACACCTGGCATCAGGATAGGTGGGAGCTGAGGCAGGAAGAACCAACTTTCAACCAAACAGCTTGGGCAACTTAGTAAGACCTGTCTCAAAGTAAAACAATAAAAAGGGCTCCATGGTAGAATGTCCCTGGGCTCCATCACAGTCCTGGCCTAATAATAATGAACACCAGAAAAGCTCAGCGGGTAACTCTGACTTCTGAGGAGAGAGGTTTGTCTACAGAAAGTCTTTTTGTGGGGATGGGGAGATAGCTTGGTGGAATAAGTGCTTCCCTGGCAAGCACAAGGCCGTGAGTTCAATCCCCAGTTCCAAAAAAAAAAAAAAAAGACAAAATAATAATAAACCAAACTGGCTTAAAAAAAAAAGCCCTTTTGCATCAGGCTACAGTATTTTGCCCAGTAATTACCTGTGTGCCCAGTAAATGCCGCTGCCCATCACGTAGCAGCTATCCGACTGGCTGTCCCAGTTTTCCAGTGCTCATCCTGAACAAGTGGCTGCATTTGCAGCCACTTAGGAGGCTGAGGCAGGAGGATGGCAGTACTGAGCCCAATCTGGGCAGCTTAATGACTTCTCAAGACCCTGTCTCAAATCTTTTTCAAAACGTTGGGGGGGGGCCTGGCTCTAGCTCAGGCCTTTAAGTGGCAGCTTCCACAAAGCGTCAGCCTCAGGTTGCTGGAGTTCGAACCTCACACCTCTCCTGCTGGCCAAAAGTGCCCTGAAGGCATTCGAGCAACAACAAAAAAAAATCCTTATTTGTACAGCAATTAACCACTAAGAAGAATATATGCAGTGTATTATTTGTTGAAAAATAAAAAAATAAAAAAAAAACGTTGGGGCACAGCTCAGGGTGGTGCCCACCAGCATGTGGAAGGCCCGGGTCCTGTCTCCAGCACCACCGCCAAAGTTAAAGACCCCACAGCAGACCCAACAGGCAGGGCAGGGCCAGCCTGGAGAACTGCGTGGGGGGACCTAGGACAGCAGGTCAGGGAGCTGACTCCCGGTCCCGGTGGCCCCACCCACAGCACCTCCAGGCCCAGGTGGCGGGGCGGCCCCCTAAGGTCCTGGTCCTCCACCTGTCCTACCCCGCCTCTTGTGAGCCTGGGCGCCCCATTGCCGGGAGTCACACTCAGGGCCCTGCAGAGCCGCATCCTGAACAGCCGACGCGGGGAGGTTCCGCAGGCGCCGAGTGAGGACCCCGCGGCTCCAGGACCGGCCAGACTCCCCAGGTCTCACGGAAGACCCAAAGGCAGGGCATGTTTCCCAACATTTCCCCAAATTTCAAGGCCATGATGGGCAAGGCCTTAAAAGCCAGCAAACACAGAGCTCTGGGTGACTCAGGGGTCACACGCCCATGAAGTCGACTCTGTCTCAGCCACCAAAATATCCTCCAGGCATTCTAAGCGCTTTGTTCAAGCTCTCCTAGGACAGGGAGAAATCACCAGGGATCGAAGTCATCAAATGTGGAACAGCGCAGAGCCTGCCCGCAAGTGCAAGGCCCTGGTGTTATTTGGAACTGGGGGGTTGAACTCAGGCCATTGAGCTTGCCAGGGAAGCGCTTATTCCACTGAGCCACCTCCCGGGCCCCCCATGAGTTTGATTCTTTTTTTAAAAAAAAAATTATTTATTTATGTGTGTGTGTGTGTGTGTGTGTGTGGCC